GGGGGTTTGGGGGGGGGGGGCGCATGATTTGCATGCCTTAGCTACTAGACCACACGTCCTCGACAGGACGGAGCGTTGTTCGCACAGGACCGATCACCGATGGCCAATAGTTCCTTCCTACTTTAGCCATAAGTGGGCAACATTTTGTGTGAAGACCGAACAGGTGTTTGTTGAGGGACAACCATAAGTTAGGAGTGGGCTGCTTCGTTTTGCGAGGGAGCACGGCTGGGGCGAGGACGAGAGGGAAAAGTGCAACTGAGAAAAACAACAAGTGTGATGCCACACGTCGATTCTAGAATAGTAACGGGGAAACAGACACAGAGGATCGGGCAGAGTCACAAACTAGAATTCGGGTACATAATTGTCGACCCCTAAATAGTGCCGAGCTCCGCAGTATATATTGAGATTTTTGTATTTTCTTGTCAACCACCTCGCGCTACCCCGACACGCTCCTGCTAGCCACAGCAAAGCGAAAGGAAGAAATATTGCGTCCAACCTGTAGCATCTGAAGCCCCAGCCTCCTTGTAAGCGTGGCTTCGATTTGTCTACTCTTGCCCCTCAGTCTGTCAAACAATTCGCCAAGAACCACCCTCTTCTGGATGCTTCGTTCGTGGGTGCAGCGTAGAAACTCTAGCACAAAGCGCCGAGAATCACCCTCTTTTCATGCTGCATTCATGATGCGGCGTACAATCTGTAGCACAATGCGCCAAGACTCCTCTCTAGATTCTTCATTCATGACGCAGCGTCAACCTCGCTCGGCGGCAGAGAGCTATCTTAGCACTTGCCACGACCCCGGCCCTCCTGCAAGCGTGGACGCCGACCGACACAGGCTCGCACATGGCTCCCTCCTCCAGGGACATTCCGTCGGGGAGCTTGTAGCAGAAGTCCGACGGGTGCGTCACAAACCGCGCCAACGAGCCGTGGACTGGCTGAATTTGTATTCGTGTAGGAAGGGATGAGTGCACAGTCGCCAACGACGTTTTAGCAACGAAGGAGCCGAGGGCTTGTTACGGCTTGCTGTGCGAGACAGGGGAAAACACGACCACCGAACAATTCATAAAGTGACATCAAACAGCTTCCCGTTAGTTAAAGTTCCAAGCACCACGGACCACAAGCACGGGACAGAGCGCAGATTTTTTTCTTTTGTGTCTCCCCCAAGAAAATCTTCGGATAAATCACGGCAAACAGCAACAACACAGCACTCCCCCATGGTGGAGACTGTGTGTGTGTGTGTGGGGGGGGGGGTCACTCGTTCTAGACACAAAAGCAAGGGCCAGACACCGCGGTGTTGTCATACCGGGGTAGCATGGAACTCCATCTTCTCGCACAGGTTGTAGGAGCCGGTCTTGCAGTGCTCGCACAATCGGCACGGCACGCCCGGCTCGAGGGCAACGGGGTCCCCGCACGCCAAGCCTCGCACCGCCGACCCGACCTGCCGCCGTCGTGTACGATACCAAATGTGCGCGCGCGTGAAGGACGGGCGCAAACGAGGGTGATCATGATCGTGAGTGCGTCAGGTTTTCTAACGTCGGCCCTTCGAGTAACACCGGGGGGGCTCACGTCCCCGGTTTTTTCCGATCAGGCTCGATGCGCCTCTTCCTCCTCGGGGTCCAATATCACGTTGCTCTTCTGATGAAGCCACGCAAGGAAGGAGACTTACGGCACGGCATCTCGCAGCACGCACATTTTCACAAACGCTCTGGTCGTCTTTCCTCCGACACCGGGAACCGCGAGCGCGCCGGGCCAAACGGACCGAACCAGTGGAACGCCGCCGCATCCGTAATCTCTGTAAAATAAACACGATGCCTACCTTACCTCGATCGCGCACGTCTGACAAAAGAAATACAGACATGCGAATAAATCTTGTCCAGAGAAAACGAAACTAAGCAACGGACGCGTTCCGTTTATGTCGCGCGTGGTGCCCATCGCGCTGAAACAAGAAGCGAAAAATGCCGCACCTACCTCGGCAACAACACCGGCGGCCTCGTGCCCGATGACCATGGGCTGTTTCACCACGAAGTCGGCGCACCGCATGTGCTTGAGGTAATGGACGTCGCTCCCGCAGATGCCCACGGCGCCTACCTGGTTTGGTTCGAGAAAGGAGAGAAGGCATTCATCTGGTGCGGTACCTGCGAGACTATACCGGGATCATCATGTTGCAATGACCGCGTTGCGGTAGAGTGATTGCAAACCAACACAAGTGAATCAGCCCCCGGGGCGGAGGGAAGTATTAAGGAGGCATTTAACTGGCGCCAGCTGGGAACCCCCCCCCTCGCAACAATTTCCGCTCTCCCCTCAATCATGCCTGCCCCCTTCTCCCCGTCTCTCCCCTCCCTCTGTCCTTCGCGCCTGCCCCTTTGTCTTACCCTGACTCGAACATCGTTGGGTCCAAGCGGCTTGTCGACCTCCGTTGGGTGTGGCTCGACGCGCAAATCGTCCACGCCATGGAGCCTGTGTGTGTGTGTGTGTGTGTGTGTGTGTGGAATGAGGATGTGGGTTGTCGTTATCGCCGTGCTTCTGTCCGTCCGGTGTCATCGTGAATACCGGCACGTTCAGAGGACAAGCGGGCATGATGGGGAGAGATCGTTGTCTACTCAGGATTGGGGGGGCACGGGGGTGGGTAGTATAGCCGTCTCTCCGCTTGACCTAGGACTTTTGGGAGAAAATTCATAGAATGTTGCAGCGCCCGCTCGTTGCCTTAAAAACGCAAGTATTTGGTGCCGATGGTTCAATTTTCCAACAAAGGAGGCGTTTCCCTCCCGATCGTTAAGCGCGTGATATTGTAGACTGCTGTTGGCTACCCTCAACAACATGTCAGTTTGTACTGATAAATCATTTTCCGCTTTTCAAGGGCGATTGGTTCCCACCGCCCCACGAAGTAGTGCATGCGCTTTGAACACGGCTCTTTGCCTCGCACGTTCCCATGTTTCCTCGCGAACTTGTTCGTTAATGCTCCCGCTCGATGCACATGAACACCTTACAAGACGGCTGCTGTCTAGGTGTCGAGAGTGTTACCGCCCAGAGGCCTTCTCTTGCCTGAGGACATCCCTACACCGTCGGTAGGACATTCCTACACCGTCGGTAGCACTCCAAGCGAGAGATCCAGCAAGCGGCCCTCCGCAAGCAATCAATACGGCCCGCTAACAACGCATAGACGTTCTGGTAGACTAGGGGCAGGTGGGGGATAAAGACTGACATGTCACCTTGGGGCGCGACTCTCATGGGTCCCCCATAAAACTGGTTGACCCCAGGGTGAAATGCCTCTCAACTGCGGGAACACACAAGATCGTTGTCCCCGTGGTTTTCACACCAAGTTGCACGCATTCACGCCCCCCGTGGGACCGTAGACAGCCGAAAGTCACGCGCCGGTGGCTTGTTTGCTGTCGTCTTCATTATAAAAACCTTTCTGACCTCTACCGAGTTAACCCAGCTACCAGAGCCCGTAACGGTATCATCCAATAGGTAGGGCAAAGCCACCAACTTCCGGCATCGCAAGCGGACCCGCTGGGACGTCATGCACTGCTGTCCTGTGTACCAACACGTTCTGGCCGACCAGGTGGGATGCATACACGTGTTTTCGAAAAGATATCCAGGCCTGGGGTGAGCGAAGGGTTCCCAACGGTTCCCGGTCGCAGGACCCCGTGCTGGAGCGCCGTGTGGACTCATCAGTCATGTCACCGCATGCCAGTAAGCCATTCGATGCACAAATAGCATTATTGGGAGAGCGTGATGAGCGACAGATGATGTTCACGAGGCCGCCGAGGAAAAAGAAAATAAAGCGTGTAATACTCCGAAGTGAGATCTACTGGTGTGTGATTTCCTAACCGTACATGTAGTTTATCTACGGGCGAGGTACTGTAGACTACAGCAAAGTACGACGGTATACTACAGCAGCAGCAAAGAGGACGATGGAGCAACAATTTTGTTTCGGCGTAAGCACGAGAACCCGTGCTTGTCGGCTTCGTCATGTTACAACGAAGAACAGATTGGGGACTACACCAAAAGCGTGCACGCGAACGAGGTGTGTAGGTATCTACTCTGTACAGCAGTATGTAGACGATGTCCTGTTGTTTACTGTGTACAGCCTGTACATAATAGTTGAAGTTCGACACACAGGCATCGTCAACATACGCGCTCTGAGAACAAATCACATGGAATCATAAAAACTGGTCTAGAATCCTGGCGGAGGCTTGCGAGCTTCCAATACGCTACAGCAGTGTGCGACCCGATAAGTGCAGCAGGTATTGCTCCATAGCAGTAGCTGAAGATGTCGAGTCCTTGCTCTACCTCCGTCCCGTTCTACATTCAAATTGAAAAACATGCAGCGTACGCACAGGCGTTCGATGCTCACCACGCCGCCATGTTGTCGCTCCCGCAGCACCCCGCCATTATGCTATTCTCTAGCTTAGAACACACACAGCGTCCCTTGGTGGTATTGTTGTCGTGTTGAGCTTGCCGTGTGTTGCAGTTGGTGTGGCGCGGACAGTAGTAGTGCAGTACGGAGTACAAGTTTCGTTTGGTGATTGGTGACTCGAGAGGCTCCGCGGAATGAATGGGGCACCCGTTGAGGGGGTCCCGCAACAAAAGATGTTACCCGTCGAAAAAAAGGGGTGATCAAGATATCAAGATTATCAAGAATACTAACAATTCAAGATGCCAAGATCCGAGGACGGAGCAGGCTCCCCCCGGGGCTACGCGCGGTTCATGGAAACGTCAAGCTTGTGGAACACAGAACACCTGAGTGTAACTCTCGTGTCTATGTAGCGGCTGACCCCTTTCGGAGGGCGGCATGGGATGGGATACGGCGGTTTGCTGCTGCTGCCGTGATGTGTATGGAATAAAAATATAAAAATAACCTTCGGTACAAAGCTGCTGACCACTACAGCAACCGTGTCACAACGAAACACGGCCGTTATCAGGGCAGCGTCACTATATACCGGGAGCCCCGATAGCGCCCACATGAGCCGCTAAAAACCGTGGGGAAAAAGTCCCAAGTTCGCAGAATTAAAAGAGGCAGAGGAGTCACAAAGCTTTTCTTGACGAGGGTCAAGCTTGTGTCTTGTTGCAGCTGTCACAAGGAGGTAGACAAAGAAGCCTACTCTGGAACAATGTTGATCGTTACCACCGGACGTCTGGACTATCAACAAGAGGGTGCTTGCCATGCCTGCCCTACACGCATTCTACGCAGCGATGCCGCCGACATGACGGAACGCCATCTTCAACCCTCACGCCACCGCGCACAAACAGTGACACTACGTCTTCTGCTCCCGCTCCCGCTTGCTCGACTCCGCCGGTTCTTGCTCGGCAGCCGTATCATCCCCCGTGGCTTCCTCCAAGGCGCCCGCCTGGAGCTCCGTCTCCTTGTGTGTGATACCATCTGAACCTGCGGGATATGCTGGTGCCACGACAACGAATCCCGCACGCCCTTGATTCGCACCGTTCCCATCGCCGTCTGCTGAACCCCGTTTTACAAGGTCAGGGGTATCATCGGCAGTATGGTCACATATTCTGCCCCTTTCTGGGAGGTCAAGTAGCTGCTCCCCTTCCTCCTGTTCGTGCTCCCCTTTCAAAACGGATGCTTCAGCAACCGACGCCGGCACGACCACCCGGCCTCGTCGAGTGATCTCTTCCGGGGGCTGCCCTTCAGGGTCGCCCGCGCTTGGCCGTCGCGGTTTCTTGGCTTTGTCCCCGTCAGTGTCGCCTAGTCCGTTGCCTGGACCGCTGTCGAGCGAAGCGCTCGTAAGCTCACTCATGCTCACCGGCGCATCGTTGTTTGTCAATGCCGCGTCCTTGTTGGCGGCACCATTCTGGGCGATCTCAGGTGACCCTTCCCGCCTCTCCGGGCTCGGTACATCATCAAAGTGTCTGTCTCCTGAAGAGGCGCTGAGTTGCTGCCGCACGGGGGTTGTGTCCGGTGGATGCGGCCGAAGCTCCGGGTTTTCTGGTGAGTTTAGGTGTGCTGTTGCGTTTGTTGGTACCGATGTGTCCCCCGCCTGCTCTGTGCTTGTCTGCGGCAGTACTCCTCTTGCACCGATCGCTCCTGCGGCAAGCGCTTGAATCGTGGCCTTGATTTCCTGGATTTCGTCCAGGAGAGAGGTCGGCACCACGGTCGGCTCTGGATCTGCCTCTCTACCGGCTGCTGTTGATTCCGCCGCCTCGGTAGAGCTGTTGACCTCTTCTTCTGGTCGAGCTTCGGTCGGCGCGATTAACGAGAACGAAGCTCAGTATGAGTTCTTCGAGTTCGATCGTGAAGAAGCATGCTCAGAGGCTCACATCGAGTAAAACGCGCAACACCATTGCTTATCGGGTTAAATGCGAGACACGATTTGCTGGCTCCTATATTAAAAGTGGTCTCTGAGCTTTTCCCGGTTGTCTGAAACTTTTTCCTTGCGATTGCAAAATATTTACGGGCAGATTGCACGATGCTGGACGGAATGTGGAGGCTGTTTATTGCACCCGCTAATGCAACAAGCCGTATTTTCACGTTATTGTCCCGGTGCACACAAACATGCCGCCCGAAGGAAAAGAACGTAAATCTTACCACTTTTGCCGTCTTGTTTTGCCGTGTCCACTTGCCCGCCCGGTGCTGCTGCCGGGAGGGGCTGCCTTGGAGACGAGACCTGAAGCACCACCCTTCGACCGTTCCATACCCACACCTCGCTCTTCCCTTCTTCCGCATTACCACTACCGCAATCGTCGTTTTCGCTCGTGTGTACGCGGTGCCACCCAGTCGGGGGCTTGTCGTAGTACGTTGTCAAACTACGTGCACTACGACCAGCGTCGGCCTGCGGAACGTATCGGCGGACCAAATCACAAGCGTTAGGCGCCAGCGCCATCTCTGCCGATGTCGACCCGGGGCCCACGGCTGACGGGCGTGACACACGCCGGCCGTTAAGGTTGTTGTTGTTGCTTCTGCTTCTTCTGCTGCTATTGCTGCTGCTGACTATGCTACTGCTGCTGTTGTTGCCGCCGATGACGACAGGATCATTGGAACCTCGGTGGCGTGACCTTTGCAATGCTCGAGACTGAGAAGCACCATCGAGGCCCCGACGTCGTGGTGTGTCCCCTACGGCTACGGCAGCAGTGGCGGAGCTCCTTCGAGAGCTGAACGCAGCGGCAGCGCTAGCTTCCGTGACCCCAGAAAGTATTCGGTCGTAATTTCCGCCATCCCATCCACCGGTGCGGTTGTACTGGCCACGGATGCCGTTCGTCGTCACCCTTTCCGTCGGTGACATGAGAACGTCCCGTGGTGATGGCGTATTGCTTACGTTGTGACCACCTCCCCTCCGCCCCGGATCTCTTGTCGTCACGACGGCCTCGCTTGGTTGTACCCATGCGAATCGCAAAAACTTGTCGGTAGATCCGTTTTCTCTGAAAGATGCTGAAGCCGCCCCTGTGGCCGCCAGTCTTCGTTTATCGGTGTGGCGCGCAGCAGAATGGGGTGGGGGGGCGGGGGTGTCGTCAGGCAACATGTGGTGGTTGTCTACGGTACATGCGATCACAGGGGTAGATGCAATGCAGAGCAAAGCGTGTGTCTGCCCACGGAAGCTGCAGCTCTTGACGTTCACACGGGACTACAGACGAGGCAACTCTAGGCCCTAATAGTTCTGAAACTTAGTGAGAAGGAACATGTAGAGCGAAAGGAAGCCACAACACGGGCGCATGGTGTTGCACCCAAAGACGGAGGTAATCGTTCCGTACTAAACTGCCGAGGACTGTGTTATTCCTTCCTTACCTTTGTGTAGCGACAAGGTTTTCCATGACTAGCTGTGACTGCGCCTCAACAGCCCGCTGTAACCCTTCGAGATCGCGAGCGCGGTCCGCGTCTTCGGCCAGTCGTCGGCGGTCCCACTCCCACCTTCAACGCATGTTCCGAGAAAAAAAATTTCATTACTCGACCACCACGATGGTTTTGTTGGTATCCTCGCAAAGCTTCCGTAGTTGGGAGTACGACTCTCAACGAGCTGCGTGTATCCCGCTTTCCGTACCTACTCGTGCGTGGCGACCGCTTGTTCGTGAGTACCTGGTACTCTGGAGGGAAGGCACTGTTGAAATCGCTGTATTCAAGATCACCTTCGAGCCCATTGATTATCAATTCTCACGAGCAACAACTGGTACAATTTAGGTTGATAATCTGGAAGTGCAGGGAGAGTTAATGATCCACACTCATGGTATAGAGCCGACGAGCACAAACAAGCATTCCACCCAGCCGAGATCAAAAGTCTGGACAATCGCCCACAAAGGTTGTTCGGGACCACGTATGCATAGGAGGGCGAGCATGAGCGATTGAACTCGTGGGTGCATCACATACCTCTCTCTTTCTCTGGCGAGGCTTGCCAACTGTCTCTGAAGACGGCCACACTCGTCCCTCCAGAAAGATTGGCTCCTACCATCTCCACCGACCTCGTCTTCACCAGGTAGTGTGGTCGTTTCAGCAAAGGACACAACTGGACGCACGTCACCACCACCAGCAGAATCAGAATGAGGCGGTCTTCGCCATACAGTGGCATCCTCCGCCGCACGTAGCTCCTGCTCTCGTTGGATAGGATCGCCGAGCAAATCTTGGTCCAAAGACGAGTTGGGTAGGTCACCGAACATCCGTCTGGGATCTCGTTCGCTTACATCTTGCGGTTGCTGCTGCTGCTGTTGTTGCTGCTGCTGCCGTTGCTGAATTCGGCCTGCTTCGGTAACGGCCTCGACCTCAGAGATAAGTTGGCTTGGGCGCCGGCTGGTGCCGCCTGACGGCGAGAGCTGAGCGTGGGTCGGGTTTCCGTCATCACTCTTCGCCTCATCGCCTACCCACCATGACCGACCTGCCGCCCACTGTGGGGTTGGCATGCTCCTCTCTCCATCTGCAAGATTCATGACAGGTTGAGTCCACCACAATAATAAACATAGAGAGAGGGAGGAGAGATCAAAACTCAACCCCTTGTCCCTTCTCGGTGAGACAAGTGAAATGCGGCGCAATCTCCCAAAATTGGTCGAACAGGAACATTTTGATTTGCAACGGCTGCTGACGACCCGACCGCCTCGAACAAATACCTTTTTTACGGCATCTGCGGGCTGTACGAGGTTTTATTCCCCTTGGCGTTGCACCAGAGGATGCGTACACCGTGTGAGTAAAACGGGGAGGAAAATCAGATTAAGGTCACAAGGTCTACGAGATTAGTATACCTGGTGCAGCCTCATGGCGTCGGCGTTGGCGCGGTCCGCGGGGGGGGTTCAGCCCCCGCAGGGAGACGCTCAGCGTGTGCAGGATCTCCAGCAGCTACAGCGGGAGTACAGGCACATGGAGCTTAATAGACGGGCGTATGCAGAAGAAAGCCAGCAGCTTCTCCGCAAGCAACAGGTAGGAGTACGAGCTGTCAGGGCTCGCATTCTGCACACGAAATATGTCACCGGTGGAGATTTTCTACACCTCGATAAGTATCACACATGTACGGCATTACGAGACCGTATCATCCCACTTCATGGATACGAGTTTAATGCACATCAGCTAC